TTCTTTCTTTCTTTCTTTCTTTCTTTCTTTCTTTCTTTCTTTCTTTCCTTCTTTCTCTTTCTTTCTTTCTTTCTTTTTCTTTCTTTTTTTTGCTAAAAACAGGAGATTAAACACCTATCAAGCTACATTCTTGTTTGGCAGTGGCTTCCTTATGAAATTTCAAGCAGAGGAGGGGATAGTGTTTTGCCAGGGATGTTTATTTTACCGATTTGCTGATGTGTAGCATTTCTTATGTGGCAGACAGTTTTGGTACTTTAAAATCTTACTTCATTAAGGCTCTAGTCAACTGAGGAACTGGGCACTATTATGGTTTCTGTCTTTTTCAGGGGAGGGAAATTCAGATCAAAGAGGTAAGCTTGTCCAGGTTCACTGTGGCAGACCCATGATTTGAACCCCCGCGGTCAGTGTCCTGGGTCTGCAACCACTGTGTCATCCTGCCTCTAATGCAGAGGAAAGTGTTCCTGTCCCGGGAAGGCAGGAGAGAAATTGGACTGGGTGGACTGGTCCTTAAATGTGGGCCCCTAGACTTATGTGCTGCTAGGTAATCATCACTGGAGCTCTTGCTTAAAATGCAAACTCCTAGGCTGTACACCTGGATATCTGATTTAGGAAGGCTGGGGTTTTAAAAAAATCAAAATAGATCATGTTTCGGGACCCCTCCACCTTACTACGAATTCAAGATCCTTTGATTGGAACATCGTTCCGATTTTACCTTAAAATGAACGTGCTGTCAGGTGCACCAGTGGCTTATGCTACCACCTCCCCTGCATTTTCTAGTCATTCCAGCTCTGCTGTCTAAACCACAGTCACGGATGGCGACAATTCTGACCACTCCACCCCCAAACTCCATCTGCTGACAACCACCAGGCTGATTTGAGTCCTCCGAGCCTCCCACACCCTGCCTGCTTTCCTTTCGTGGAAGCCCGGAGCCCACAGGCTTCTGAAAAGCTTCAACTGTCTCTGCTGCCATGCAAAGTGGACATCTTTAACACTGTTTATAAACTTGACTCCCCTCCTCTGCTGATGATTGCACAGCTCAGGTAGACAACCCCACCACTGAACATTGTTGTCCCACTCAGACTGAATGGATGAGACGCGGTAATGTTTAAACACGGGACCGTCCATGGGGACTGAGCCTCAGCCCCTTTCCTCCATCTACTTCTAGCGTCTTCTTACTTGCCGACCCAGGGGAGGCTGGAGGTTCTCGCCAGAGTCTCCCTCTTCTCCTACTTCAGCAACATATTCATGTCTCTTTAGGGGCCTGAGAGGAGCATTTGCTGACTACATACAACCAGAGGCATGAGGAGAATTAGCTGTTGTATCACTTTGGCTAATTTAAGTTCTGCTGATGAACGCACTGACCCAAGCAAATCAACCAGATCATTTCCCAGCCCCTCCTGACTTTAAGAAGCCTGGATCATACCCAGGAAAATGGAAGCAGAGAAGGAGGCTTGCAAACACTCGAGGCTGCCATGGGAGATTGGCTTGCCAGGAAGGTAAAACCAGTGCAGAGGAGACCTCTGGGAAACCCAAGGCAGATTTCATCAGTGCCCCATGTGAAATACCTGTCACCACCTAACAGTGCGCGATGCCAGAAGTCCCCGAACAGCATTCCTTCTCAGTTCTCCCTTATGACTTCCAAGAACTTGACTACTTTTCTCTTTAAGAATACGGTCATGGCCTTTCTCTTCAGTGCATCCCTTGTACCGTACAGGAGATGCCCATCATCAGATTGATTTGACTGAATACCCTAAATATTCCATAGAATAGAGAAAATACACTTTTAAAAAATCTCCTGCCTGTCAGGAGATCCCATAAGACACTGCAGCTTCTTTCCAATGCCCTGGCAAAACATCCTCGATGCACCGTGGAACAGGAAGAGCAAGCCAACCAGAGCCTAACAGACCATCTTGAACTATGTAATAAAAGTGCACATATCAGCCACACTTCACCATAGGCATGCTCCTCACTGCTCCCCGAGTGCACTGTTAATTCCTCGAGCAGTAACAGAATTCATCTAAAATAGATAAGGCAGCTCTAGAAGTGCAAAGCTTATCTCAGGAACCCCTAATCCAGCTGGATTTCCATCAGATAGATCAGGGTGCCCTAGATCTCCTCAAGTGTAGTGGCTGCAAATTTAACCTTTTCCGGAAGCAGGGAGGCGGGGAGCATCGGATACCTTTCTGGATACCTATGCCTTGGGTGCAAGTAGGTGGGAAATCATTTTCTAACCTAGCTGTCCAAGGGGCATTTGTGTCAAAAGTTAGGTAGGACGCTTTTTTTTTTTTAAATGACATCCCAGAAGTTGGTGTTTATCCATTCTATTACATGCCTGCCTCAGTTTCAGCAACAGTTTGGTAGAGATGAGTTTTCGATTTAGTAATCCCAGTTACTGACCCTCTGCCCTACAGCTGAAGCTGCTGCAGTAGATACCGAACTGTCAGTATAAACCCAACGTGCAAAAGAGAGGAGTTTACTCTCTTGCTCCCATTGTATTACCTTGAGCTCCTTGACTATAGAAGAATCTCTGAGCTGACTCAACATCCAAGAGTCTATGAGCGGACTCCACATCCAGAAAATAATCCATTTTGGGATAATCCATCCTTGATGTTCCCAAAGCAGAGTTTCAAGACAAAATAGTCACTTGTATGCCTATGAAAAAGGAAAAAAAAATCCACAATATTTTAGACTGTCAAATAGATGTTTAAAACCCTATATGTACACACACATACATATATATATAAACATATATGTGTATACAATGTATTATATTTGTTATATATTATAAGGATATATATATATATGTATAGATATATTAACAATTTTGGAATAAGAATTATCCCATTATAATACTCCCTCATTTGACATTTCCAATTCCAAAGCCACCCTCAACATAGCTTTCCTACTGTATGAGAAAATGCAACATTTAATGAGCATTCATTAAAAGAAATATATTCTACTCAGAAAAAAAAACAAACAAACCAGATGATTCAAGCTAAAGAGAAATAACATACCAGTCTTTCCTTGTTGTAAATTAACTGGAAAATAGGCTGTTAAATTCATATGCTATCCGTTTTCAAAAGGTCTGTCTGATGAATGGCACCGTTAAGTGTCAGCCGTTCTGAACTAATCCTCAGTTGGTCCAGGGAGTTCCGACTCCCCTAGAACAGCGAGAATCGTCTGGGAATCCGAGCCTCCACTTATAGGTGCCTTGCGTTTATGACACATGCTGACATGTTTGCTGTAAAAAATGCGTTGGATTCCTTCCTTTTTGGTGATTCCCTTCAGCACATTTTATAAAGTGCTACAGTATCATCACCTGCTTGCCCTTGACCCAGGCTGCTTTTGAGAAAGAATCCTGGTTTGTAGGCAACGATCTCCATAATATTATCATGCACTAGCCTGTCAGGAAGCTGATGCACTTCATTAAAAAGCATTCAGCCTGTTGGGTTCTTTTTAGCATATGTAGCCTTTCCCTGATACTTGCACACATGAAGTGTCTCTATTTCTGCAGGATGTTTTTTGGAAAGAATTTATAAGACCAAGTCATTAAAAATCAAGCTCAGATGGCTAATCCAATTTGTTCCTCTTTCTAACAGTGCATATTTTAATATAAGAACCCAAATTTGGTAAGAGGAGACTTTAAAAAATACCCAAAGGTACCCGAACAGCAAATCATACTTACTGCAAGAGGAAAAAAAAAATCAAGGACTAACTGCTGGCAGTAAAAGCAAGAAAAATTTCAGCTGGAGTGTCTTTGATCTCACTAAATTCCCAATGAAAGTAAACAATTTTGATTGTTTGATTGGAACAGTGATGAATAATATATACAGTCCACTGGACCTCCTTTATCACATAAAATGGCCAGAGCATGTTACCTTAGCAACAGAAGGTGACGCCAGCCTCAGCCTCTTTGTATCCTCCACTCTGAAGGAAGAAAATGACCAGTTTCCCGTATAAAACTTGGGCACAAAATCATCACCATCAAAATCTACATGTAACCAGCATGTGGTCTGGTCCCTATCACCCCGTCCATCTCTTACACAGAGAAGTGTCATCGTCTTTGAAAAACGGGTTTTGGCTTTAATAATTTATGTTTATAGCCCCAAGTCACAGTTTGATTTGCAGTTGCAACAGAATTACATGATTAAACAATGAGTAGGATAGAAAAGTTGTCTAGCAATTGTTGGGGGGGCACCCAGTTCTTACCCTGACACTGGCTCTTCGTTGTAGGGAAAGGCTGTTTGAGCTTAGCATATGTTAAATGTTCCCCTGTTATAATTAATACATAGATCAGTCACCAGCATCGCGGCTGAAAATAACTCTCTTTCCTTCTGCGAATCAGTCACTGGAAGAAGCTGAAAAAGCTGCCTGAAATTTCCCAGCTTTTAAAAAATGCATTATAACATAGCTCTTTTGGGAGCTGTCCCCCCACCCCACAGAAAAGAAAGGTAGCCAAAAATGAGACAGGAAAGGAAGAGTCCTGAAGTTAGCAGATACTCACCAGCAGGACACCGCAGAGCATCAAATGAAGCTGTGCAATGCTGCTGAGCACGCGAGCCCAAATGAACAGCTTCTAATTTTCCCTTCAATCTCAATTCAAGAGCACTGAGCAGAGGCAAGTGATGGATTTGCCCATTTTATATTGTGATGAAATGCAACCCTTAAAAAGAGATCTGAGTGGAGCTGCTCTTTAGAACACATTAGACTGCTAATTTAAGAAAATTGAAAGGTTTTGTTTTACTGTCTTTTATGTGTTCTCTCTGCTACCCCCTCAATTTAATTTGCATTTAAAATTATGCTCATGTCTCCTCAGTTCTCCAAGGTGGGGAGTACTTTCTAATCACGATGGCTGCTTGGGTAGGGGTTGGTGCAACGCCACTTTTATTCTGAGCTGCAAAACAAGGTGGGTAATTATAATTGTGAGCTGTTTTCTGGAGTGAAATATAAAGTGAACATCTGATTTCACCCCCTCCCTCTTCCTGGCCTTTCTTCCCCTTCCTGCCTCTGACTGCTTGGTCAAAGCTCCAGCCCAAATCATGCCAATCTGTCTAAAAGCATTCTTTTCTGTCTGAATGTAACAAAGTAAACCCAACAGCAAAAGGAAACTTTGGTTAGATACCTGAGCTTATTCTGGTGGGATATCCTCCCTACCAGACCTAGGGAAGGACTTTTAGACACAATACTTGGAGATGTGCTCATGAAAGGCATAATGAGAGCCAAATGAAAGCCCGATAGTGGGTTTTTGACCCTTTGTTGACCAAGAATTAGTAATAAGTGTGGCATGGTGTGCGGTATGTTGGATTGTTAAGAAAAAAGAAGGTACATTTGAGAAGTCTTGGATGGAAGGCCACCACACTCCTCCCTCCCACAGACACAGTTCTTCCGGTTGCTTTTGAGACAAACCTGAAAATCTGCTGTTTGTCTTGTGGGCTCTCCCACCCAATCAGAACAAATCAGATACCAAGCTGGGGCTGCTGAATTAAGCCTGATGAAAGAGGAAGCTAAAACTACCAATCACATGTTCTTGCAGGGAAAGTACACTTTGGAGCAGCATACTCAATGCTTTGCCCAGACCCAAGGACTTACTTTTTGTAAGGTTACATTTCTATTCAGCCTCCATTGGAGACATGCTGATCACTTGACATTTACAAGAGGAGAAAGCTGTCTTCTGGTTTCTTTAGCTTACATTGAGGTGTGGGCGACAGATTCTGAACTCTCTATTGTGAATCCACTGAAATTGTAATGACTCATAGGTGAGAGAGAGAGAGATGGGGAGAGAGAAATGTGCAATCTACTGCTGCTGACAAACACCGAACATTTAGGTGAGTGCAGATGAATGATTGAAGACAGAGATGCTAAATTGGAAATTTGAAAAATAGAGTTGATTTCCAGAGGTTGGGGGATGGGTTTGGAAGTAAATCATTTCTGGAGACTTGACCCTCAAGAAAGGTAAATTTGAAGTGTCTTACACAATGTACATGCAATATGAAAGGACCATGATTTAAGAAAACTCAGAGAGGAAAATTTCAACTTAGAGAAAGAAATATATTTGAGAAGGAGATGATTCTTCACTTGCAAAATGGGGACTTCATTTTAATAAATAATTAGCAACTGGGTTTTTTTTTTTAAAAAACATAATATGACCAGCTTCTGAAATAGATTTTCAAAAAATGCTTTTATTCTCTGAGAGAATAGATATAGATTGCATATAGGAATATCTGGGTGAGGAATTATTTTTAAAAGTGGGAAGCATTGTAATGTTCAAAAGCCAATGTCATGATCTGATCAGCTCAGCTCTGTTTTGTAACTTTAATCTGCTCAAAAGCAACATTTATAATGATCCATTGTTCTGAGGTATAATAGAACCGGAAGGTGAAGTTAGAGCAAGGATTCAGACTAACACTTATGTAGCACTGAACAGTTCAGCCCAAATCATCTTCAAGACATCAGCTTGAAAAGTTAACTCAGACAATGTTAACATATCCTGTGAGCAAGAAATAAAAAATTATTTTAAAAGAGGCCAAAGTAGAGTTATATCTTTTACACCAAAGGTGTTATAATATGGAAGTTTGGAACTGTAAGACTGAAAAAAATAATCCAGGATTTTTACAAATACACGACATGGCAGAGATATGTATACTTGCTATTCAGTTTGGTGACAAGAGCATATGTGTATGAGTACAAAGGGAAGCAGTATTTGATTAATTCAAAATGGAGGTATATTTCACGATGGAATCTGGAGACCAGGAAAGATATCAGCTTGCATTAATTAATTTTGGGGTATACTTATTTATTCTATTGGATGGCATAAGACCTAGACATTTTGGGAAAGGAAGTCACATGATTTGTAAGTAGACAACTGGCTTTTTTGTTCTTTTGGTATCATCGTATTGGCTTCCGTCAGAGTCAGTCTGGGTTTACTGTTTACTAAGAGATGAAGAATTTTGTGTTATCAACAATTTTATAATTAATTTTACTTGTTTAATTGCTTCACTGTATTCCAGAGCTCTCTAGCAGACAATGTTTTATATTTGTGGTGAACTATATGAAGTTCTGCCTTCTCTCTGCATGAAATCTTGGGGAAGTTTCTCTTTCCCCAACAAACCCAACTTTAATTTTAAAATATTAGAAGCTCTCTTAAAGTGTGGGAGCATTTTGGATTCCTTGGTGGGGTCCCTACATTGAAGATCTTTGGTTAAGTGCTAGCTTCCTAAATAAGTATAGAAAACAATATATTCATTTTATTTCTGCAAATAGTTGACCTCAGAATATGTTGCAATAGCAGTGGTTTCTCTTTGGTTGGCAAGTCACTCTCTTATTTTTTAACCCATCCCTCAAAAGAAGTCTCTCCTTCCCTGCTCACTAAGGGTTGTCATTAAATGGTAGGAGACTGCAAACATTTTATCTGAGGTTTTATCCATATTGAACTCTCCCTGGGAGATGAAACACTTTAAGCCATCGTCAGTTACTTTTACTTTAAAGTAGATGAATTTCCAGACTTTTCTTGTGAGAAGGTTTTGATGATAGTTGGAAAGCTAATGAAGGCTGCAAGAGTTGGGAGGGTAGACTGGGAAAAACAATGTCTCACAGGGAGGAGGAGCCTAATTATATTCCATGTAAGCATGTAGTCATGTTTTGAGGCCTCACAT